TTCAAAGACTTTACAAATATTTTCTCATTTTATCCTCACAACAACACTGGGAGGTAGGTGATATTATTATCTCCATTTTATAGATGAAGAAATTAAGGCAGAAAGAAGATAAGTGACTTACCTAGAGTCACACAGTTATTAATACCTAAGACTAGACTTGAACTCAGGTCTTTCTGATTCCAGGTCCAGCATCCTATCCACCACACCCTCTAGCTCCAATCCTCATCTCTCCCCAGAATTTCAGTTTCATATTGCCAACTGTCTGCTAGACATCTCCACCTGTATGTCTCATACAGGTTTCAAACTCGACATGTGCATAACTCACTCTATCTTTCTCTAAATATTCCTCCTCTACTAATTCTTTTATTTCTGTTTAATATACCAAAATCTTCCCAATCATCCAGGTTCACAGTCCCAGAATCATCCTCTACTCTTCTTTCTTCCTTAATCCTCATAACTAACCAGTCGCAAATCTTGTCCATTCTACCTTCACAACATCTTGCATTTGTCCCATTTTCTCCACTCACACGCCCACCGCCCCTGTTCAAGCTATTGTCACCTCTCACTTGGATTGCTTAAGGAGTTTGCTAATGGTTTCTTTCCTATCCATCGTCCACATAACTACTGAAAAAAAATCTTCCTATGACAAATGTGACCTTGTCATTTCCCTGCTCAAAAGTTTTTAGTGCCTCTCTTGTTGGACGTAGGAGGGGAAATGAACTCCTGTATTTTGTACGTAAAACTACACTCCGGCTCCAGATTATTTTTCCAGATGTACTTCCCATTACTGCCTGAATGCGCGCCATGTTTCAGTCACACTGGCCTATTTATTGTTCCCCCAAATAGCATTCCATCCCTCATACACGTGGCATTGGCCAGGCCTGGAACACTTTCCTTTGTTACTTTATGGTCTCTTTAAATCCCTACCTTCCTTCAAGGCTCAGCCCAGGTTCTGCTTTCAATGGGAGTCTTTTACTGATTCCCCTTTACTTTGTGTAAGCTTTTGTATTTACTTGTCTGTGTATACTTTGTAACTCCTGCACCTAACAGTGCCTTGCATATGACAGGCATTTAATAAATGCTTATTGAGTATCAATTAGAGATCTTTGAATCCAATGCCTTCCTGTTTAATTACAGTGGAGGAAAAGCCAGTGAAGAAAAATGACTTGTCTAGGGTCATAGCACTGCATAGAGTTCATCCAAGAACATGAACCCCGGACTCCTCACTTCTATTCTGGCATTTTTTTCCATTATACCAACCTTCCTCCTATCCTTGTGTTTTGGGGGAAAAAACAGATCCAAAGACTGTCTCTAGTATGTTTGCAGAGTAATGATGGTGGTGGTGGAGAATTTCTGTGGATTTCATATGGAGAAAGGAAACACTGTCTCAAATAGGTCCCATTTGAATGCAACCCGTACCCAGAGGAAACCCAACCTTTTCCCCTGCTACCTTTCCATGGCATGAAATCACCATTACACAGGATTTTCCCAAGAAGAGATTTTAAGAGATGTAGTAAAAACATCTGCTGAATCAAAGAGAAGTGTTTATTTAATCCAAAGACAACACTGCTCCATTCCCAAATTTACATCACTGTCCATTTTTACTACCTAGAATCAAGGTGTTCTAGAGTTGGAAGGTACCTCTCAGAGATCATCTAGGCTAATCTGAGTTAGATTTCTCTCTGAAGTCCACAATCAGTTTATTGGTCATTCAGTCTCCACTTGAATACTTCCAGTGATGGAAAACTCACTACCTTTTCAACACTTCAGTATTCTGGGATCTTGTAGATTTAGGCACATCATTATTATTTTAACGTATTTATATATTCTGTATTAATGGTATATAATAAATAATTAAAATGTAATAAATATGACACAATATTAAATTATTGTGTATAATTATTATATAATAATATCTAGCTATATTATATTTATATATTTAGGTATATTATTATTCTCTCTAATGGCACAGATTGTACCCCATGTGGGCTTTTACATCCTCTGCAGCTGTTGGCCATACCCTCCTGTAAATTCTCCCAAAGGGGTCCACCCAACATGCTTCCTCTAGATCTCTCTGCAGAGTACATAAGCTTCATGTCTTTTATCTTTCGCTGTCACTACATGACTTTCACATGTCACTACATTTCTTCGGCCAATTATACATCTCTAATAATATTCTTCTTTATTTGCCACTTATCCTTAATAGTTCTTGGTTGGTAGTATACTCCAGGCCACTATCCTTCACCACACATCTCTCTCCTGTTGCCCTTTGGACGACCAACAATTTCAACTGTGGTATTCTTTGCTTGACAGCCATATGGGATTACCTGAAGAATATTGATGTCAAAAAGATGGATGTTTGTTTCAGAGAGGAGCAGTGAAAAATACAAATGGAAAAAGGATTTCTTATAGATGGGAAGATTTGAGATAACATTATTCTGATTGCATCAACCCCTAGAACATTGCAGAACCTCCTAAATAAGTTTCATAGTCACTTAAAAAAAAAAAGAGGGATTTAATTATAACCCTCTGTACAGGAAAAAACAAATGTATGACAAATGACTATTGTCTTACTTGTGATATGAAGTGGGACCCATGGAATTGGTCCATCATTTCACATCTCTTGGGATGGACTCTGTGGATGAACAGTGAACTGGGCCCAGAATTAAATTTTATAGGAGGAAAAGAGAGAGCTGTCTTACCCTTGAGAATGTGAACAGTATTTTTAAACTCAGATGAAATGAATTAACATTTATAAACTTTGCAAACTTTAAAATGCTACACAAATGCTAGTTATTATTATTATAATTATCTCACTTCATTAAAATGATTATGAAAAGAAAATTTCTTTGCAAATTTTATCTGTAAGGATTTCAGTAAATATTTTCCCTGTGGGGGTGAGATACCTGCTTTTTAGGAGAAAAGACAAGTTAAAGATTTCTGGCAGTAATGTATCCTGTCTCCAAAGCTTCCCTATGATTTCTAGAATATACAGGGAAAGTTCCCTAATCTAACATATCCAAGTATCCATAATATACACTTAATCATCTATGTACTAGCCAATTTCTCCCATGATTTATTATTTTTTTAATAATTTTTTAAAATTTTTTAGACAATTGGAGTTAAGTGACTTGCCCAAGGTCACACAGCTAGTAAGTGTCAAGTGTTTGGTCTGAGGCTGGATTTGAAATCAGGTCCTCCTGACTTCAGGGCCAGTGTTCTATCCACTGCACCATCTAGCTGCCCCTCTCCCATGACTTTTATCGGACTTTTGGGAAATGGAAGGAAGGATGAGGTGGGGCAGGCAATTTGGTTCATTGGGAAAAAACCCCACTGAATTTGGAGTTAGGAAACTTGGGTTCACATACCCAACCACGCTCCTCTTACAACCTTTCAGATCTTCCATTTAAGGATGGTACTCAGGGCAACCATCACTTCATTTCTCTCTTGGCTGCATTTCTGGACTTCATCATGATCTCATGAAACTCAACTTCCTGCAAGATCACATCAACTCTGAAACCCACACTTCCTTAGTATCTCCTGCCTCTGGGGCTCCTCTCACCCTCTGATTGGAGAGAATGGAAGGTGGACATTGGAGAGCTCCTCCCACATACTACATTTAAGGGGAGATGCCCAGGACAGCCAAGTTATCATTTCCTATCTTATTGCAGGACTCTATCATGCCTCACCCCTAACTCTACATTGGATTTCACCTTCTTTTTATGTGCTGTCTTCCCCCATTAGAATGGGAAATCCCTGAAGGCAAGAACTGTTCTTTGCCTTTCTTTGCATTCCCAGCAGTTAGCACAGTAGGTGGAGGCACTTAATGCATATTTATCAACCAAATGACCTGTGGCAAATCACTTACCTTTTCCGGGCCTTCATTTTCTAATGTAGAAAATTCAGGCAATGAACTTGAACTAAGTTCATTTTTTTTTTTTTTTAAATCAGGCTACAATCTAGACTCTTCCATTATGCCCCAGGAAACTCCACATAGTAGAAGATTACTTCAGTCCGGAATTCACACCTCAGAGGTGTTTTCTGCATTGCTGTTCCTTCCGCTGTTTGGATGGCTCCTCCAAGAACCTCCATTTAAGAAGGACACTCAGGCTAGCCATCTCTTCATTTTTCACCAGGCTACAATCCAGACTCTCTCATCAGGCCCATGGGCCAGCATTCCTTTTATATATTATCTTTTCTAATTAGAATGTAAGGTCCTTGAGGGTTAGAATATTTCTTTTTACTTCTATTTGTATTCCCAATGCTTAGTATAGTGCCTAGTCTACAATAAGCACTTAATAAATACTTGTTGATTTGCCTTATCTAAGTAAACTCTAAGATCCCTTTGAGCTCTAAGATTCTATATTTTTTCAATAAATAGGGGCTTATATATTGGTGACCATGTATAGTATATAGTTGGAAGGACACTGGATTTACAATAAGAGAGTATAAACTTTGAGTTCTAGTTTTAACATTTATGACCCTAGGCAATTCATTTTATAACTCTGGGCCTCAGTTTCCACAGTTGCAAAATAGAGAAATTAAAAGTTGTACTAACTCATATGGCTTTGTGTAAAAAGGATGTTGTAAACCTTACAGAGTACCTTCTAAATAAGAGCTATTATTTTGATTATCACTGACCACCATTAATTTCAGAAGTTTAAAGTCTGATACTCAAAAAGTAGGCTTCCCAAACACATCAGTGTTCTGGGAGGTATGGAAGTAATGGGTGGAAAACCAAATGTGATGTATCAGGGATAAAAGTCATCTGTCAAAACGCAGATCAGCCAAGAAGTGTAGCCAAAATGAAGCTTTTTTTAACCTGTGGAGGGAGAACAAGGAGCCACCTTATACTCCAGCCAACAGAAGCACTTTGACTAGTTTCTTGAGCAAAAGAAGAGCCAGCTTCCCTAGCTCATTTTATAAAGCCCAGGACGATTCGGCTGCACCATTTACTCCTAACTGCTCCTGAGTCTTCTCAGGACACTTCTTGGAGAGAAATGGCCCATAATGGACTTGGGATCTTCATCCTCATCATCATTTTACTCCTTGATCAAAGCCAGCCTGCCAAACTAAAAGCCAGAAAACACAGCAAACGTAGAGTGAAAGGTAACCGTTTCCCTTCATATGTTAAGAGGTTCATGAAATAAAAGTGTTGGGAGGGAACTTAGAACATAGAACATAAATGTGCCTATGTTGACATTCTCGTCTAAGGTCTCTTTCAGTTCTAACGTTCTATGTTATGAAACCTCCTGACTCTAATATTTGTTGCCTTGTCTTTTTTTTAATGTTTCAAAAATAATTAAAAAAAGAAAAATATTTCAAGGGGGAAAAATTATCAAAGACTCAAGTCAAGGGAAAGGATCAAAATCCCTCTCTACTCCTTTCTGTAATTCTGCAACCTTTAGGGAATTGCTAGATAAAGGTGATTCTGATCCTTCCTTGCCAATTTTCCTTCATTAATAACTGACCCAGGATTGAACATCTTATGAATAATCAAAACATAGAAACAAGAATAGAACCGGCATCCACATGTGACACCATATAAATGTTGTATGTCGTTTATGTTTTTCTTTTCTATGATTATAGAGATCCTTTCCCCAATTCCCTATCTTTGCAAATAATAGTTTGGGCTTGAGTAATTGTAAGTTAAGTTTTTTTCTGGGCAATTTCATGTTTGCTAGTACATTTTCCTGAAGTCCAATTCCAACCCCTCCTGGTCAGAGAATACAAGAAGGAGGCTGGAGGGAAAGGGAAGGGAAGAAAAGAATGAATGCAGAGAGAAATGGATGATGTGGCAAGTTTATATAACCACCATTTTGTCCGTCTTAAAGGACCTTTGCAAAATGGTGACTGCTGCTAATATCTGAGGCCAGACAATGAGGAAGAACAGGAGTATCTATGTGTATATGTGTGTATTTGTTAGTCACATCTCTATGTGTAACCGAGGTAGATATTGTTTTGGCCCCTAACTTATCGTGGGAACATCTCAAGGTTCCGTCTCCACCCCCAAAATGATTTTTTTCAGCCTCTCAACATTAGACTGAAGAATCCAAGACTTCTAAGTGGGATTTTTTTGGGACAGGAACCGTAATCATCTGGGACAGGGAAGGCTTTGTGAGAAGGCTGAGAGGTGAAAAATGCTATGCCTAAGACTCAGCTCTGGGAAACAGATCACTAGGACTCTAAATATACACTTTACTCCACACAAATCCTAGACCATAGAATATCAGAGTTAAATGGGTCTTTGGAACACACAACATACTGAAAGACTAGCTAGAGTGCCCTGCCTCAAACCCTGGCTCTGCCATTTCTTAGCTGTGTGACCTTGGGCAAAATGCTTCTCTTCTCTGGTGCTCAGGTTCCTCACCTGCAAAATGAAGTATGAAATAAAACATCTCGAAGGTTGCTTCCAGCTCTAACAATCTGTAAGAGTATATTGGGGATAACTAAGTGGCACAGTGGATAGAGAGATCTGGCCTTGGAGTCAAGAGGACCTGAGTTCAAATCCGGCCTCAGACACTTGACACCTACTAGCTGTGTGACCATGGGCAAGTCACTTAACCCCAATTGCCTCACCAAAAAAAGCAAAAAAAAAAAAAGGATATCAGAATTGGAAGGATGACTAACGAAGTTGGAAGAGATCTTAGATTATGTAACATAGAATGTTAAATATGGACAGAAACTTAGTACAAGAATATGAAATATTGGAGCAGCTAGGTGGCGCAGTGGATAGAGCACCGGCCCTCAAGTCAGCAGGATCTGAGTTCAAATTTGGCCTCAGACCAAACACTTAACACTTCCTGGCTGTGTGACCCTGGGCAAGTCACTTAACCCCAATTGCCTAAAAAAAAAAAAAAAAGATGTTCCTCAAGCACCACCTTCTACATGAAGCTTTTGCCAGTCCCCTCAACCACTACGCCTTCCCTTTCTTATGTTAAACTACTTTGTTTTTATTCTTTTTTATTTATGCTATACATGCCTATATATCTACATCTACCCATATTTATATATCTATATAAAGTTATATGTTTATGTATAAATATGTACAATAATTTAAGTTATACATAAAAATATAACGAATATATATAATATATGTGTGTAGATATACACATACATGTATATATATGTGTATATACACACATGTATGTAAGTCTTTGTTGTCTCCCCTGTTATAATGTAAGTTCTTAACCAGTAGAGATTGTTTCATTTGTAGTATTTATATCCCCAGTGCCTACCACAGTGCCAGGCACAAAAAGGGATAGTTAGGTGGTAGAGTGAATGGACTTGAAGTCAAAAAGACCTGAATTCAAGTCTGACCTCAGACACAGCTAACTGTGTCACTTAACCTCTGTCTGACTCAGTTTCTTCATCTGTAAAATACGGGATTATAATAGCACTTATCTTCCAGGGTTGTTTTCCAGGAGAAAGTGAGATAATATTTGTTCTAAATAAATGCTAGCTATTAAATATGTGCCAGTTGAAAAAAACTGAAAGACAGTAATATGCATGCTGCCTATTTGAAAGTGTTGTTATGATGAAAGCAATTCATAAATTTTAAATCACCACAGAAATGTCAGTAAATACTATCATTATTATAGGTCAGGTTCATGGCTAAGATGTAGATTAGCCCCAACTGGGCTTTGAATTTCCCCACAGTCAGGATAGAGGCTTATTTAAATTTTGTTATGTTCCTCAGTATACAGCATAATGTTCTGTACATAATGGGTGCTTAATAATTATTGTAATGTGTTTAGCCCTTTTCTAAAACCTGCTACAGGCCTCGAGTAATCTATTCAAGAAGGGATATTGTACTCTACACTAATAACAAAAAATAATCACAATAATAGATCTGAGCTGAATAGTGTTTTACCAGGCAACCTGGTGTGGTGCAAAAAGCACAGGATTTAAGGGGCAGCTAGATGGTGCAGTGGACAGAGCTCTGGCCTTAAAGTCAGGAGGACCTGAGTTCAAATCCAGCCTCAGACACTTACTAGCTCTGTGACCCTGGGCAAATCACTTAAACCCAATTGCCAAGCCAAAAAAAAAAAAAAAAAGCACGGGATTTAATCAGAAAACTTGTTTTGAATCCAGTTCTACTGTTTACTGGCTATATAACCTTGAGCAAATAATTCCCCTTCTCTGGACATAATTTTCTTCCTCTGTAAAAAGTGAAGGTTGGATTAAATGATCTCTATGATCATTTCTAGCTGTAAATCATAATCTAAGGATTACAAAGCACTCTCCATACATTATCGTCGTTTACTCTTCACAACCACCAAGTCAGGTAGATAGTGCAAATATTGTTTCTTTTTACAAAGAAGGAAACTAAGGATGATAGAGGAGAAAGTAATGCAACAACCCCATGAGGTAGGTCATTTATTCCCATTTTAAAGAAGAGGAAGCTGAGGCTCAGTGAGGGAAAGTGCCTGCTCGAGATCACACAACATTGCCCTGTGTTAAGTCCTTCAAAGAAACTTTCTAGTCATCATTTGCTTGCGGATCATGTGAATCAAGGTATTTTCCTTTGTGACTGCCTGTTGGCATCTCTGTTCAGCAAAAACTGCTTTTCAACTTTCTTGTCTTGGTGTCTTATGTCTTTCTCCTGTGCACAAAAGAAAAGGATGGTGACCTGAAAACACAGGTGGAGAAGCTCTGGAGAGAAGTAAATACCTTGAAGGAAATGCAAGCCCTGCAGATAGGTAAGAATGTATGTCAAGGATACTTTGTTGCTGAAAGGTACATAATATCATTGCAGATCTGGGATCAAAGGAGCACAGAATGTCAGAGTTAGAAAGGACCTTAGGAATCAATGAGTCCCACTGCCTTCATTTTACAGAACTTCCCCAGTACTTAGCACAGTGCCTGGCACATAGTAGGCACTTGAGAAGTGTTTATCATCTTAATTGACAGACCTCAGAGGATAAAACTGTAGCTAAAAGATAAGAAGCGACTTGCTGTAGGTCACGTGGCTAGTGAGTAGAGGAACTCATTTTCAAACTCAGATCTTCTGATTTCAAATCTAATGATTTTTCCAACATACCACAATAAATGAAGAGAAGAGATTCCCCAGAAGCTGAATTGCTATAAAATCCTCATCACTCAACACCAAGAAGAAACAAAACTTTAAAAGCAAATAGAGTTGGTTCACACATAAGAAGAGAAGGGACTAAGCATTATATAGCATCTACTATGGCACTGACTATAATAAACACTTTACAATTATTAATTATCTCATCTGATCCTCACAACAATACTATGAAGTAGGAACTATTATTTGCACCCATTTTATAGTTGAGGAAACTGAGGTTAAGTGACATGTGCAGGGTCACACCACTGGTAAGTGTCTGAGGTCAGATTTGAACTCAAATCTTCTTATGTCCAGGCTTGGCGCTCTATTCGCTGCAGCACCAGCTGCCTTTTCTTGTGTTACCTCATAGCACTTTGTGGTTTACAAATTGTAGCCTTGTCAGGTAAGAAATGCAAGAATCATTATCACCATTTTCTAGATGAGGAAAATGAGGCTTAGCGAGGGGACCTGACTTATTCAAGAGCATGTAACTATTGAGTGTCAGATATGAGATTCAAATCAGTGTCTTATGTCTCCAAATGCCTAGCTCTTCCTATTGCTCCTGTCCAAAGATCCCTGGTCATAGGCAAGCCTGAGTTTCTTTGATATTTCACTGCAGGGAATTACCTACAAATTAAGAGGCTGATTTAAATTACAATCAGTTTTTCCTCTACTTCAGGGCCTGGCTCCTGGTTTCAGCCCCATGACCCCCCAAATAACTCACTGGGTGTTAGTCTTTGGTAGTTCAGACCCCTTCCATCTGCTTAGTTTGTGAAATATTATCACACCCATTATCTCACTAGAGTCTCATGCCAGATGCATGAATAAGGCAGAACAAGTATTATTAGTCCCATTTGCCAAGTGAGAAAAGTGAGGCCTGCAAAAGGAAGGTGACAGTTCACAATTAATTAAAATAATTACTAGAACTGGAATCTGTGGGTCCTGACTCCTAGTTGAGCATCATGTCCATTATACTAGGTGATTCCTTGATGGCATTCAGATTGATTTTTTTTAAGGAATAGGTATAAAATTCAAAATAATGAAACAAGGTAACTCATTTAGTGAAAAAAATATTTATTAACCTACTATGCATATGGTGGTATAGGAATTATCCTGGGCTCTTAAAGGCTATTATGGTAAAGCACAAGCTCTAACAGGCCTTACTAAGATGGAAAGCCTTTGAGTATGAGCCTGGCACCCTACACTATGTTTTTCATCCAAGAAATGAATGAATGAAAATGCTTTCTGTATCTAAGGCACTGTGTTAAGTATTGAGGATATAAGCATAAAAGCAGGACAGATTGTCCTTAAAGAGTTTTTTTCCTAATAGAGCAGGGATTCTTAACTTGGGGTCCATGAACTTACCTTAAAATATATTTTGATAACTATATTCAACATTACTGGTTTCTACTGTAATTTTATTTTATGCATTTATTTATGCATATAAATAAATTTCATTTTATGCATTATTCTCTTCACAGTCTGTCTCCGAGGAGTGAAAGTACACAAAAAGTGCTACCTGGCATCTGATATCTCCAAGCACTTCCATGAGGCAAACGAGGACTGCATTTCCAAAGGTGGGACCCTGGTCATTCCCAGGAACAGTGATGAAACCAATGCCCTACGAGACTATGGAAAAAAAAGTCTGCCAGGTGTTAATGATTTTTGGCTGGGGATTAATGACATGGTCAATGAAGGCAAATTTGTTGATGTCAATGGTGTTGCCATTACCTTCCTGAATTGGGATCATGCACAGCCCAATGGCGGGAAGAGGGAAAACTGTGCCCTGTTCTCCCAGGCAGCTCAAGGAAAGTGGAGTGATGAGTCATGTCGGAGCAGCAAGAGATACATATGTGAATTCATCATTCCCTAGAGAGTTTCTCTTGAACACAAAGCTTCCAGGCAGAATGTGATGTTGACCCTTCCCATTGGTAGATGCTGGTCATCCATAAGAATCAAAAAGGCATGAATGGAAATCCAGACAGCCGCGTGTGATTAGAACAAAATGGTTGGTCTGCCCAACTGACCACATGTCATCTGCATGGCTGTGTGACATTGGAAATGTTTATACTGCAATATGCATATTATTAAAAATCTTCCCATTGGGACTCACCCTGTCAAATACTTCAGCCACTGGCTGGTGGAGTAGCATTGAAAAAAAATGAGTTTGAAGTCAAAACTATTATAATTATTATTATTTAATGAAAGAATAATTGACATTAAGGTTCTTGAAATCTGCCAGTCTCCAGGAGAATTTGATCAAAGTTCTTGAGCAATGCCATGGCAATTTGAGAGATAACATTTCTAATTATTTAGGAGTGAAGAGAATTTGAGAAACCAAATAGTTTCAGCAGCTTAAGACAGATGTCTAGAAATTATCCATTCTGATGGAATCATGGAAAGAGAAAGGACTTCAGAATTGGTGGCCCTGAGTTTGAATTCTAGCTTTAGTACTTATGTGCTTTATGGCCTCATCCAAGTTACTTTAGCCTCAGTTCTCTCATTAGCAAAATGAGGATAGTAAAGCTTGTACCACATGCCTCATAAGGTGAGGGAAGTGTTTTGTAACTTTAGATCAGTCTAAAAAATAAAACATTATTAGCTACTAGCACTTGTCAGCTTTCACTGTCTAGCCAGACTTGAAATGAAAATCCATATATCTTTTTAATTAAGAAAGTCTAGCTGAAAAAATACCACCTAGTGAAATCCAACTCCTTCATTTTATAGAAGACTGAGATTCTGAGAAGGGAATTGACTTGTCCAAGGTCATACAGCTAGCAGTAAGTGTTAGAGCTTGGATTTGAATTGTGGTCTCAACTCCAAGTTCAGTGCTTTTTCCCTCTACCCCAAGCTTAGACCATTTTCAGGTATTAACTGCTAAGTTATTGAAAAAGTAAATTATCTTTACTCCTAAGTAAGAAATTGAAATTTTAACTACCAGTTGCCAAGACATATCAGTCTGATGGTCATGATTATACTTCTCAGAGCCCCAGTCTTCTCATTTGTAATATGACAATGCTTATATTTGAACCATCTACTTCACAAGAGGGCAGATGCTGGAAAACCATGGGAACCTCTTTGTCAATTACTGCTCCCTTAAGCAGCAATTCCCAACCCTCCAGTATTTTAAGCTTGACAAACCATTTTCCTCATAACAATCTTGGGATATAGAGAGCACAAATATTATTATCTAGATTTCTCAGGTGAAGAAACTGAGGCTTAGAAAGAGAAAGTGATTTGTGCAATTAAGTGACAGCATTAAGGTTGAAACTTAGATCTTTTGACTCCAAATTCAATGGTCTCACTATATCAGGCAGCCTCATTAAGACATATCCTTGTGGTGTTCAGGCCACACCCTGTTTAAACAGGATACAAATCTCACTAGAAAAGGTGAAAGTTACCACCCCTCTAAACAATGCCTGCTTCCCTGGTATTTCTCAGTAAGCAAATGAAGGCACAAAATCAAAATAGACAAGATAAGTTAGTTGGCTCATTTGACCACCACACCAGACATTCCTAGAACCATCTGGAAACCTCTCATACCTTTGATTGCAATGAAGGAAAACACAACAAATCACACACAGGCAAGAAATGGAGGAATAGTTGCCATTTTACTAACAAATTATGAGGTGAATCAGAATCAGGAGGAAAAAAATCCATTCCATTAATTTAATTATCACTATTAAACCTAATTTCTATGACACTTGAAGATTTACAAGAACTTTCCTGTAAAGTAGATGATGTAAGGGATATTTCAGGGCCTTGCACATAGTAGGTGTTGAATTAAAATATTGAATCAAATGATCATGCAGATCAGAGGATTTTGGTTAAGGCTATACAGGGAGTACCTAGCAGATTCAGAATTCAAATCCAAGTCTTCTGATTCCAAAGCCAATGTACTTTTCATTATGCCACAATGATTGTACTAATGATTGCAGAGGTGACATCAGGGGTGTTCTGGTGAAAGCTTAACAATTGGCTCTGAGCTAGGGTAAAGGTGAGGGAGTACACACAACACACTTTAATTTGCATTATTAACATTTTCTTTATCATTTTCTTAAATCTAGAGAAACAATAAAACAATAAATCAAGCCCTGGTATCTAGTGTTTGCTGATGTCCAAAGTGTAAATGCTCACACTGAAAATTTAACAATCAATTCTCCTAAGCCATACAAGTTGGCTCCAGCATATCACTGGGTGAAATGAGATGTTAGTACTCTTAACTCTAAAAAGTGTTAGAACCAGGATTTTATAGGGTCCTAAAATAAGGGTGAGAAGAGACCTGAAAGGGCATCAAGTCCAACTCTCTCATTTTCTAGAGGAGGAAACTGAGGTCCAGAGAAATGAAGTGACTTGTCCAGGGTTCTACAAATGGTGAGTGGCAGAGTCAGGATTAGGACCCAGGCTCTTTGACTTTAAATCCAATTCTCTTTTCACTACATCATGTGACCTCTATTTAAATCTATATCTATATGAACCTTCTATCTGAACCCAAGTCTCCTGATTCTAAACCCACAACACTTCCTTCTAGACCATGGTTAGCCTCAAACACCAGAGTCAATGATTTCACACTTGATTTCCATCTTTGTTTGAATACCTAGACTCAAACATTTGCCATCCAGTCTGTATGTCAGACAGTCCATCTGCTGTCCATTTTTGACACATGGATTATAGATCATAAATCTAGAGTTGGGAGGTAGCTTTTAAGTCTTCAAGTCTAAGCCCTTCATTTTACAGATGAGGACACAAAGGGTCAGGAGCTTAAGTGACCTACCCAAGCTCACACAATAAGTACCTGAAGCAGGATCTAAGCCTAGGTCTTCTTGATTCCATATCTAGTACACTACCCTTTACACCACACTGTCTCTCTTGGGGTGCAAAAATTACTTTCATATTCTTCACATTCAGATCTCTCACTACTCATCACAAATTCATTGAGCACCAGAAACAATGATCTCACACCCACCATTTCCATCTCTGAACAACCAGACCCAAAAAGTTGCTGCCCAGTCTGTAGGTCAGATAGCCCATCTGTTGTCTTTCATTTTTGCTCTATGGCCCAGGAGACCATCCTGTGAGAAGATGGTTCTAGTTCATCTGTGAACATATTCCTCAAATTGTTTACCTAAAATCATTTTAGGGCTCAACTCATCAACTATATTTCTATTTTTAAAATATAATAATTTTCTTTGTCTATAGACACAGAGTAATCCAAAATACCTTAGATCACTTCATTTAAGCATAACTTTCTCTAATCACATCATTCACGCAATATTGCACATCAATATGTTCTGTAGACAATGTCTTGGCCCACAATCTCCTTTTCAAAATGTGCTTAGAATTGAGTTTCTTAGTTATAGATCCTTTTACTGTCTAATAAAGGCTAAATGCTCTTCAATCAAACACCTTGGTTATTTTGATGTGAAAACTATGTTCTCTGCCATGTTTGACAATATCAGGAGTGTTCAAACTTTCAGACACCACCTGGAAACCTTCTAGACCAGACTGGTGAGCTAGAGCTCCAAAGGAATATTGCATTACAGGATTGATGCCCTTAAAAAAGTTTAAAATATAGTAATTACCACTTCAGAAGTACTTTAAGATTTGTAAGGCCTTTTTTTTTTTTTGGTGAGGCAATTGGGGTTAAGTGACTTGTCCAAGGTCACACAGCTAGTATGTGTCAAGTGTTTGGTCTGAGGCCAGATTTGAACTCAGGTCCTCCTGACTTCAGGGCCAGTGCTCTATCCACTGTACCACCTAGCTGCCCCTGTAAGGCCCTTTTCTTACAAGATCCCTGGAGGGAGTTTACATGATTACAATCCCTATTTTATAACTGAGCAAATGGAGACTTAAAAAGAGTCATAAAAGTTGTAAGCATTAGATCTAAGATTCAAAACCAGGTTCTCTTTCAACTACACCGTGTTGCTTATAAATATAATTGCAAAAGAGATTTCTTTTCATTGACAGTGACCAGGCCCCTTCTGCCAATCTAACAATGACCATATTGGATCCCCTCTAAATAAATGAGCCACTTTCATTTGGGATAATGCCATTATTGGTCCAGTATCTGTCAGTGTTGGGGGGTGGAATGGGAAGATCTTGAACAGTAGTTAAATCAGGGCAAGCCCAGGAGGAAACAGGGAACACCTAAGGTATACAGTTGAGAGAAGATAATGGAAGGTAGCAAAGATTGTAATTAATCACTTCCATAAGAAGTTATGAGAAGATTGAAGGAGTAAATCACAAATAATTAAAGAAATTCAAATTAAAGAATCTCTCAGGTTCTACTTCACACCCATCAGATTGGTAAAGATGGCAGAAAAGGATAATTACAAATGTTGGAAGGGCTTTTGGGAAACAGGCATGGTTGATGGAGCTGTGAATTGGCCAAGTCACAACAGATAGCAATTTGGAACTAGGCCCCCAAAGTTGTGCATACTCTTTAATAACTCAGCAATATTACTACTAGGCTTATTTCACCAAGTAGGTCAAAGAAAAAGGAAATGGACCCGTACATGCAAAATTATTCATATAAGCTTTTTTTGCGGTAACAAGGAACTAAAAACTAAGAAGATGTCCATCTATTGGGGGATGACTATACAAATTATGATATAAGAATGAAATATGAAATGAAATACTGAGCTTTAAGACATGATAAAATAGATTCAGAGCAACCTGAGAGAGAAATGAGTAGAATCAAGAGAATAATTTATATGACAATACTAATCTTCTAATGAATAAAGTGAAGGAGCTACCCTCCCAGAATAGTGTAGTCCAGAGTCCAGTGGAGATGGTCCTATGGAATTGGAAAGAGCAGAGGGGGTCAACCACGAAGGAGAACTGAAAAACATACCGTATAATAATTAAATTTTT